TTCATTAGCATATCATACCATCCAAAAGCTATATACATATAGGACACAATCCCCAGACTGCTTTTCTACTATTCTGTATCAATAGGAGGATCACTGTCAATGGATTATATATAATGAAATCTGACATACTATTAAGGAACATATTGTAAGTTCTTTAAAAAAAAAAAAAGTCCCCAACTCTTTAAATGGTTTATGAAAGCCACTTGCCTAGCTGGAATAAGTCTGGACTATGACTAGAATTTGGACTTTTTTGGCCAGTCCTGGGGCTTGAACTCTGGGTTTGGTTGTTGTCAGTCCGCTGGAGGACAGAGGCAGGGGTTGGGACAGGGGCAGGCACAGGGGTCTGTGGATCAGGAACAGGACCCAACATGAGGTCAGGTAGTGCATAAGGCAGGGGATGTGCCACAGGTGAGGAAGATAACAGAGTCAAGGGGGTCAGGAGAGGAAGGAGAGGGGGAGAGCTTTTGGAGGGATTTTGTTGCATGAGCAAGATTTGAAATATGGGGCAGAAGAGACAGAGGAAGGGACAGGAGCAGAAGTAGAAGAATCCCTGCATGTAAGGAATTTCAGCCCATTTTTCCTTCTGCTCACAGAAATTGCAGAGATCGGTTAGTATATTGAAATTAAAAGTCCCACTTTCAGGCCAGCACAAGTGGTTATTGAGCTGCTACATAGGCCATTCCTTGTTAGGCCTAGAGGTGCGAGATTAGCCAATAAGCAACCCAAAGGAGTATGTGGGTCTGGTTTGGAATTTTGGTTTCCCATAGTGCCCAGGCAGCCCGGGGTAAAACTAACTCGGAAGAAGATGTCCCTGTCTTAGCCAAAGAGTTACCAAATAAAAACAGAGAAGACCAGGCATCCATGATCATTCTCAGCACCATGGCTAAAGACTGGAGGGAGACTCGGGCAGGAGTGCTCGTGACTTTTATGGACAGAAACAGAAGGAACCAAGTTCCCTGGGGGAGCAAGCCTGGACACCCTGAGACAGGGGTAAGGGACTCACCTAATCCAAATGTGGTGGATACATAGGGACTGAGGTCATGGTCCAATGGAGAGAGAAAGGGAGAGAGAGAGACAGACAGACAGACAGAGACAGAGGCAGAGAGACAGAGACAGACAGAGAGACAGAGACAGAGAGAAAGACAGAGAGACAGAGAGAGACAGAAACAGACAGAGAGAGACAGAGAGAGACAAATAGAGAGACAGAGACAGAGAGAGACAGAAAGAGATGGAGGTAGAGGTAGAGGTCCCTGCTGAGTTTACACAGGTAACCAATAGTATCCCAAGCTACTAGGTGGTGGTCCAGGGGATATGCATAGCTTACAGAGGCAAAGGCTATGAGGTCTTTTCAGATGGCTGTTTAGCCCAAAGTAAGCTTGGTGGGCTATGTGTTCCTGCTGGAGGAGGCCTTGGGAAAGACAGGAGGAGAGAGGCTGAAAAGCACAGCACTACCACCTTCCTGGGCTCCGCACCCAGGTGTGAGGTTTTAGGTGAGGAAAGAACAGGCAGGGGCGGTAAAGGTGAATAAAAGAAAAGTTTGTTGGGGTATGTATGCTCCCGGATGAACTCCCTCATCAGGATCAGAGAGGTAGCGCAAGTCTGGTTGTAGCAGGGTTTATATGGCCTGGGTCAGCAGGAACTTTTAGCATGTAACTTGTTTTGCAAGTTTGAGCAGTTGAAGAATGATTGGAACAGGTGGTATATAAGGAAGTGGCTTTTCTCGGTACCTCTGTCCTCTAGCGTCCTGACAGTTATTGTTCCTGAGCTTTTGTGTTCAAGGCTAATGCTCCTACCACTTGAGCTATGGTGCCACTTCCAGCTTTTTTGGTCATTAATTGGTGATAGGAGTCTCACAGACTTTGCTGTTCAGATAAGCATTGAACAGCTCTACTCAGATATTAGCTTCCTGAGTAACTAGGATTGCAGGCATGAGCTACCAGTGCCTGGCAAGAATTTGCATTTTTAACAAATCTACGGGTTTATACGTTATCTATTGCATAACAAATTTCAGTAGCTTAAACCGGTATTAATTACCTCCCAGTGTTGCTGGCAAAGAGCATGAGCACTATGATTCTGGCTTAGGCTCTTCTGAGGTGGTTATAGATATATAGACAGAGGCTGCAGGTATGTGAAGATGTGGCTAGACAATGCACCTCCAGGGTGCTCAGTTGAAAGGTTTTTATTAGTAAGAGATTCTAGTTCTCATTAGGGCAGGGCCTCAACTGAATTCTCCAGGAAACCCCTTCCAGAGAGAAAGAAAACAAACTCTCTCTTCTGAGAGACTTGAATCCAAGGTTGTACTCCAAGACTTTCATCCCTTCCTCTTCGAAGGCAAGTCCTTCAATCCAGATTTTACTCCAAGGGAGAGGTCTACCTTTTGAAGAAGGAATACCAAAATGCTAGACAGTTTAAAAGCAATACAGCAGGTATATTTCTGAAATTGCCTTACCAAATTACCTCCAGTATCTCTGGAGGCCCAGAATCAAGACGTCAGCACAGTGGGTTTCTTCTGAAGACTTGTGTTCCTTGTGGATAGTTATCTATCTTCTCCTGGTTCCATGTGCTTGTATCTTTTCTAGTTAGTTAATTAGGTATCTTATTAGTTAATCATTTGAGACAGAGTCTCACTGGCCTCCAATTTGCAATCTTTCTGCCTTCTCTGCACAAGTGCTGGGATTACAGGTGTGTACTACCATCTTAGAAATGCCTTGGGAGAGTACTTTGTCTATCAATCACATCAGGTTAAATTGTTTTCTTTTTCTTTTCTTTCTTTCATAATCTTTTTATTTATTTATTTATTTTTGGGTCCGGTTGTGGAGCCTGAACTCTGGGCCTGAGCGCTGTCCCTCAGCTCTTCAGCTTAAGGGTAGCACGCTACCACTTAAGCCATAGCACCACTTCCAGCTTTTTTTTTTCTGCTTATGTGGTGCTGAGGAATCGAACCCAGGGCCTCATGCATGCAAGGCAAGCGCTCTACCACTGAGCCACCTTCTCAGCCCCATCTTTCATCATCTTTAAAAAAAAAAATAATGCCTAATATCAAATTGAATCAGCATTCATCCCAATGGTCACAGTTTAACATAATTCCTTCAGTTAAGAATCTATTTCCAACTTGGAAAAAATTATATTTAGTAAAGTAAGCCAGGCCCAAAGAAACATAGGTCCCATGGCCTTATTTTCAATAACTAGTATATGTCTGGGACAAGCAGAAAAGGTCAAAAGCTATGTACATATGACTAGATAAGATGATGCTAAGCAAAATGAACCCCAAGATAGAGACACAGTGTTTATTTTTCTTGCTATTGTTTCTAGTGTATTTATAATGTACCATGTGATTTTTTTTTGTTGCTTTGTATGTTCCTCCCCCATGGTATAACCCCTGTTTTCACTGTATTTGATGTAGGTCTAATTTGGGGCGGGGAAGGGAAAAAACCAATGTTTAAATAGGGATACAGGTTGACCCATTGTAACAATGAGATGTACAAGACACTATGTTGAAAAATGAACTTTATAATTTAGGGGGGGAAGTTTGTGGGTGGGGTGGGGGTGGGGGAGGCGGGATAGGGGGAGTGTAGCTGTGGAGGTGGGAGAGAAGGGATGGTAGGGGAAAAACAAAGGAGGAGGCAACAATGCTCGATAGGAAATGTACCCATTACCTTGCTCATGCAACTGTAACCCCTATGTACAGTATTTTTACAATAAAAAAAAACTTTAAAAAAAGAGCCTTTTTCCAAGAAAAGTTACGTTAGGAGGAAAAGGACTTGAACATCTATTTGTTTGTTTGTTTTCAGGGTAAAACTTGACTCCCAATTCCATGAGCTGCACCTCTGCTCTAGGAACCACACATTCTAGAACTACTGGCCTAATCAATCCCCAGGTTATATATAATGAGAAATCCAGGATTGCCATAAATGAAATTACCACATGCCAGACAGGAGTCAAGAGCAGGGCTTGGTTCACAATGGACTGATTTCATGAACCATCCAGTGTTTAGTCATCTTTAATTAATGTTCTCTGAAGATCTGTAGCTGTGGAACCCATTAAACTTCTGTGATTCCTCTAGGCTACCGTTTTTTATATTGATCCCAAAACTCCTATAATTGCTGGGACACATCCTGAGATGCCTTCAAATGTGGAAGTGGGCTGATTTTCTGGGGGAGTACTTCATTTAGTATTTAGTTCAAGCTGGGGCTTGAACTAAGGGCCTTGTACTTTTGGCTTTTTCACTGAAGGCTACTTGAGCCACACCTCCACTTGTGGCTTTTGGCTGTTTAATTGGATATCAGTGCCTCTTGGATTTTTCTGTCTGTGCTTGGCTTCAAACCTTGATCCTCAGATCTCAGCCTCCTGAAGAGCTAGAATCATAGGTGTGAGCCAGTAGCACTGGTCTGAGACTCTCATTTCCCTTGGGGCCTTTCTTCCTTCTGCTCAATTGGGTTGGGGCAGGAAGAATGCAGCACGGGGTGGGTGAGCTATTGAGAGCAGTTTCATCAGGACATCCAGTGAAATGTTCTTTGGTTGTCACTGTTGCACACGTCTACATCAGGATTGTCTCAGCACTGAGCGAATGATTTTCCTTCTACTTAAAAAAAATGGTTTCTAAACTTATTTTAGGCCACGAATCATACTATTCTACAGATCCCAGACAGACCGCCAAGGAAGGGAGATTTACGAGGGCAAGGTTCAGGAGACTAGGCGGTAGGTGCAAACACTGGATTGGTTAAAAAGTCTGCGTCCAGCAGACCAGACTGCAACTGAAAGGCCGGCTTGAGATGAAGTGCCAATCTAAGAACTCACTCCTCCTCCTCCTATTGCTCCTCCCCCCTAGGGCAGTCGGACACGCCCCCCTGGTTCCACACACCCAATCAGCAGTTAGAGATCGCGGGTCACTGGCCCTAGTCCTCGGTTTCAAAGCCCCGGGAAAGCTGTTCTTCCGGACCGCGGGGAGGCTGGCGCCTTTCTGCGCCTGCGCAGCCCCAGGCCCCGCCCCACCGCCCCTCCCGCCAGAGTCTCCCGCCGGCAACATGGCGGCTCCCTGCAGGTGCGGGGCGCTTTCCTATCGGCTGTTTCTCGGGGTTAGGGTTAGCCTGGCGCGGAGGCAAGAGTACTGGCAAACCGCAGCGGCTGAGTTGCAGACAGGTCCCGGATCCCAGGTAAGGGCCCGGGTGGTAGAGGGATCTGCGCCTGGGGTGCCTCGGGTTGGGGCCTGCTGGAAGAGGGGCGCGGCGGGGCACTCAGGTGCGTGCCTAGCCGTGTCCACCCCGGGAGGTGGACACCGGACCTTTGCACTGACCTGGGAGGCTGAAAGGAGAGCGTGCAGACGATAGCGGCCGAACAACGTGCCTGGAACCTGTGCAGTCTCGATCGTTTTCCTGACATGTGGCAGAGGTGGAGACCAGAACTGGCCCACTTCATCCCAGCGTCCCAAGCTGGCTGGCTGGCTGGCTGATGCTGCCAGACTACTGACATACAGCCTCAGGAGCCGGAGCCGGGTTTTACCCGGGAGAAAGAGCGATTAGTTGCGGTGATAACTGTGCGTGTGAGGCTTCCGTGGGATGGATAGCCAGCTGGAGAATTCCCATGAGGCCCATAGGTAAGGATGTGTGTGCCCCCAGAACTGGCTTACAGGCCCTTCTGTTCCTACCCTCTAGGGGGTTCAGTGAAGCTTTGGAAATGAATTAGGTCACAGGGAGCATGTCCCAAATGGGGAGAAGATAGAGGATCAGAGCTCCAAAGGACCTGCAATGATAAGGGAAAAGAGGCCCCCCCTCCCCCCAAGACACTAAGAATGAGCTGTCCAAAGAAGTAAGGGGAAAAGAACCCAATGTGGAGTCGTACTAACTGGGGAATGTTTTAAGGAGATAAGTGCCAGTACCATATATTGCAAAAAAAAAAAAACACGCTTTGCTCTATTGAACAAAATACCACCACCTTTTCTATGTTCTTTCTTTTAGGTTTTAACCTAAGTCAGCCTATCTATCTATGTATTCATTGAGCAGGGTTTTTTTTTTTTTTTGAACATGTGCTGAAAATTTTGTTTCCTCAGACAACACCCTATCCACATAACTAAATATGAAAGGACCTATAGCATACAGACTATTTTTATTGCTGAGACTTGATGTGTTTATGGGGTGGGTGGTTTGCCTTCCCTCTCCAATACCTCTTAATCTTATTCTATCCTTCTGTTTGATGTCCATATTCTTATTTTTTAAAATCATGTACAGACGTAAATGCACATGAATACTTTTTATATCTAATGGAACTATATTGAGTTGCATACTTTTTGCTTTTCTTACACATCCATGGAAGAAAGCCTCATTAGTTTCCTGTCATGTTTCAAAAACATTTCTTAATTACTGAGTACTGTCTTCCCATTAGCAATTTTCAGTAACCATCCTGCTGTAGTTCTTAGGTATTAATGCTTTCATTTCTGTGGAAGAGACTTTCAACTATGAGGTTATTGCTTTGAAAGATGTGTACATCTTAAATTCTAATAGATAGTTTCATTCAGCTGCCCCAAATGGCTGCAAACAAATCATTTTATCATTGATGAATGCATTGTTTGTGTCTACCTACACTAGGATTTATTTAATTTGTTTATTGCACTAAGATGATGAAGACTGAATGTCCTTATTTTTTTTTCCCCTGACCATCCTTGAAATAAAGCCTCTTCTTCAAAATAGCAGATGTTTACAGAATACTTCTCTGAAGTCAGGTAAACAATTTTCAGTCTAACAATTTACCTGACTAGTATCCATACTTAAGTACTTTCAAGAGATGGTCCTAACAAGGCTGACTCTCCACATTCTCTCTGTGTGTGTGTGTGTGTGTGTGTGTGTGTGTGTGTGTGTGTGTGTGTGTGTGTAAAGGCTGACTCTCCACATTCTGTGTGTGTGTGTGTGTGTGTGTGTACTGGGGCTTGAACTCAAGGCCTAGGTGTTGTCCCTTAAGCCTTTTCTCTCAAGGCTGATGCTCTACCACTTGAGCCACAACTCCACAGCTTTTTGTTAGTTAATTAGAGATAAGAGTCCTGCAGACTTGGCTGGGCTGGCTTTGAACCACAGTCCTTATATGTTAACTTTCTGAGTAGCTAGGATTACAGACAGTTCTAGCTTTCCAGATTCTTGAATCTGGACAGCATATATTTTACCACATGAGATACAGCTTTGATATAACTGAAAAACTTAACTGCTTTAGATATTTAATAAGTTCATGGCGTAGCTCAGATATAACTGAAAACCTTAGCTGACTGCTTTAGATTCTTAATGAGTCCACATAACAATATTTATAAAACTCCTTGGCACAGAGCTTGTCTTAAATATTATTTCTTTTTTGTCTTATTCTTGCTTATTGTTATTATAATAAGGGTGATATAGAGATGAATTACTGTTTCATAAGTCGGTTAGTAATACACTTCTTTTTGATAATGTCACCCCCTCCTTTGCTTTCTCTCATGCTTTCCATTCTGTCTCTGCCCACAAGTTGAATAGTTCATTTTTTACATACTGTCTACTAAGTACCACTGCTGCATTTGTCCTTCCATTTCTGTGCCCTCCCTTACCACCATTTCTCAAAGACACATAAATGAATGAACAAGACAAAATGAAAATTAAAACTGTTTCACTTTCTTGGAATTCATTTTGATGAATATTGCTACATATGATCAAGTGCAGAGGCTTTGTGCCTTTCTGTTTCTCCCCTAACAGTATCCTCCTTTGATCTCACTGTGTGTGAGTGCCTATATAATTTATTATGTCCTGGTGTATTTTATATCTAGCTTCTGCCTGAGAAAAACATACTCTGTTGTCTCTCTGAACTTGGCTTACCTCACTTAACGTAATTTGTTCTGGGTCCACCCATTTCCTAGCAAATGAGGCAACATTATTCTTTCTAATGGCTATGTAAAATTCCATTGTGTATAAGGACCACATTTTCTTTATCCACTCAACAATTATAGGGCTTCTGGATTGTTTCCATAACTGGGCTAGTGTGAAAAGTGCAGTAATGAGCATGGATGTACAAGTGTTTTTTCAGTCGTGGGGCCTGAACTCTGGACCTGAGCGCTGTCCCTCAGCTCTTCTTTCTACCACTTGAGCCACAGTGCCACTTCTGGCTTTTTCTGCTTATGTGGTACTGAGGAATCGAACCCAGGGCCTCATGCATGGGAGGCAAGCACTCTATCACTGAGCCATCTTCCCAGACCTGTATAAGTGTTTTTTTAATAGTATCCTGGCTTATGATGTTCTGAGTAGATGCCTAGTAGTGGTATGGCTGAGGCCTAGGGAAGATCTGTGTTTAGTTTTTTGAGGAATCTCCAGACTGCTGTCCAAAGTGGTTGTAATAGTTTACATTCCCAATTACTAATGTTTTTTGGGGGGCGGGGGTTGGTCAGTAGTGGGGGGGCCTTGAACTCAGGGCCTGGGCACTGTCCTTGAGCTTTTTTGCTCAAGGCTAGTGCTCTACCAGTTTAAGCAACAGTACCACTTCTGGTTTTCTGGTCATTCATGGTAGATAGGAGTTTCTTGGACTTTCTTGCCTGGGCTGGTTTTGAACTGTGATCCTCAGCTCTCAGCCTACTCAGCAGCTAGGATTACAGGTTTGAGCCACTGGCATCTAGCTTATTAATATTTCTTCCTTTCTTTTTTTCGTCTTTCTTTCCCTTCCTTCCTTCCTTCCTTCTTCCCTCCCTCCCTCCCTTCTTTCTTTCTGCTTTTTTTTCCTCTCTCTCTTTTCCTTCTTTCTCTTTTTTCCTTCTTTCTTTCTTTCTCTCTTTCTCTCTCTTTCTTTCTTTCTTTCCTTCTTTCTTTCCTTTTTTTTTCCAGACCTGGGGCCTTAACTCAGGGCCTATGTACTGTTGCTGAGCTTCTGCTCCAGGCTGGTGCTCTACCACTTGAGCCAACGCAACTACCAGCCTTTTCTGAGTAGTTTACTGGAGATGAGTCTCACAGACTTTCCTGTGGGGCTGGCTTCGAACCATGATCCTCAGATCTTAGTTTCCTGAGTAGCTAGGATTACAGGTGTGAGCCACCAGCCTCTGACCTTATTAATGTTTCTTATTGGTCACATTAACACTTATATCCACTTCTGTATCTAATATTAATAGGTGCATTTCTCTTGGGGCCCATGTTTCATAAAACAACAGTTTTCATTGCCGTTATGTTTGACTAAAATGTGTTTTTACCTCCTTTTATCCCCAAATATGGATCATAACCCATTAGTTATGAAATCTCTTCAGAGGTTACAAACAATTTAATGGGTAGGGAGAATAGAATAGCAGTATTCACCAAAGTATCTCATAGAGGGTGCTTGGTTTGTTTGGTTTATATGTATAATTGTGTATCAGATGATAGTATAAACAGATAAATACTGTATGTCACAGAAAAAGTTTGAGAAACAGGAATGCATCAACGAAAAGGAAACAAGTTTTATTAAGTGATTACTCTTGAATTCTCTATCCTGGGTTGTCAACCTGAGTTTTTAATTGGACTCTTGTCTTACTAATCTCATGGAATCCATGTTTCATATCAATGTGCCGATACAATGGCAAATATTTGAATGTCTAGATATCACTTGTGAATGGCCAAACTTTTCCAGTAACACCCATGTACTGTGAGATTTACAGAGTACTTCAGAAATACAGTGCCTAATTCAGACTGGAGTTATAGAAGGTAGAGAGGTGATCAGCAGCAGTTTCCCAGAAGGGGTAAGAGTGAAGAGAGAAGTATATTAAATGAGTAGCAATTAGGAATTACAAGAAAAACCTACAGATATTCTGTTCTGGGAAGATGTAATAGATGCATAAAGGTAAGAGAGAAGCACAAAGTAACAGTGGGTTCTGGCAATAACCAGTAACTGTGTAGAGTATAAAGTTTGGGCAAGAGAATGGTCTTACTAAGCCAGGCACATTTGCCTACAACACAACTGAAAGAGTCATTTTTGCCCAAGTTCCCTCTCTGTTTCCCAGCGTATGGAGAGGGGAGAGCAATTCTCAACTCTGCCTCTTAGAGACTAAGGTTTAGAAGTGTTTATTGGGAAAGAAACGAGGTGGTCTGACGCATGGAGAAAAGCAAGTGGTGACAGGGAACAGTGCAGTGCTCGGTCAGCTCTGCATGTGAAATCACTGTCAAGGCGTTCTACAGGATACCTCTTCAGA